CGACAGGCAAGCAAGGACAACGATAACTGCTGCTTGTTAACAGTGATGCTCTTCTTGTCACTGGTTTCATTCAGTCACTTCATAGACCAACGAGGCCTAAAAACTAGCCCTAGGCTCCGTCTCAGGCTCAACCTCTGAGATATGGATCAATCATATGATATCACATGATGATGGATACAATCGATCACTGGACCTAACCCTTCTAGGTAGCTAGTGTTACTATATATGCGCATGCATGTCGATCTTTTGATGTGCCTTTTACGGCATCTGGCAACAGTCGGCAAAGATCGCCTTACAGCAAGTACAATAGAGCTGAGTCAGCGGGCTATAAAGCTGAGTCAGCGGGCTATAAGGAATAAACTAGTATATTTTTGCTTTGTTGGAGGAAAGAGAAGAGAAGAGAGAAGGTAAGCCGGCTCTTCGTGAAGAGTCAGCTCTATCACGGCACTTTATGAGAATGGGCTACATAATAAAAAATTATACACTCTTTTAATCTATTATTGTACATGTTGACTATAAGATAGGCTGTAGATGACATGGCACTGACTTGTAGCCAGCAGCTGGCTATACTATTAACCATGCTCTTACAAACACCTGTCTGATACAATCTCACTAGGACGCTATTGCATGCTGATGTCAAAGTTACTAGCTACTCCCTCCCTTGCAAAACTCTTGTGTTAGATTTATCTAAATACGGATATATCAAGTCACGTTTTATCATTAGATACATTCGTGTCTAGACAAATCTTGGAATGGAAGATATCGAATCTTGCGGTAGCTGCAATGCGTGATGAGACAGAGCTACAGTGCCGCTCCTAGAAAGATCGAGGCGTGCAACCGCAAATAGTATGACCGGCCCAATCATTCGCGAGCTTAGCTCATTCGTCGTACGCACCCTACAGCTTCAATCTTGATGCTGCTCTGTGCGCCTCCGGTACGCTCCCTGTGCCTCTGCGTGCCCATGCGTGATCCCCTTCAAACCCGTGCCACGTCCGTATGCTATATGCAGATGGAGATCAGATCCATTGACCCTTCACGTTGTTGTGCATGCATGCATGCAAACAAATCTGATGGGCCAGATCGCCAGAGACACAGACGGCAGCCGAAGGTCGACCCATGTCGGCCCTTGGCGCCGTCGGGAGCAACCGAAACACGCGCGCACCCAGCAGATCCATCGATTAGCGACAAAACTAACTGAGCATTAAGCACTGTACTTTGTCTCAACAAAAAATGTAAGCACTGTACTGATGGACCTCCGCCGCGGTTGAGACCGGCACATGGGGCTCGCTGGGTACGTGCACAAAACTAACTGAGCAAGTATAGGCATCGACGATTTATTACATACAGTACAAACAGCAGAAGCTAACTAATTAATCAAGGGAGATGAATCAATCAGCACACTGACTCTCGTGGCACATCGTCCCTGCACTTTGACAGATCCATGCACATGCCACTCAGCAGCGAGGATGGTACCACCTGCTTAACCTTAACTACTGGTCAGTGCGTGTCTTGGCACCATCCAAGTACAGCGGCATGCGCCGCTAGCTGGTCCTGGCCGGCCGGCAACCACTGCATGGAGCACGGTGGTGCCGCTGCCGCTGCATGCCTGCTCGCTGCCGCAGAGATGGACGTACGTACCTGCTCGTATGTGGGCAATGCCACCCCAATTGGCCGCATGGCGCAGTGCCCCCTATTTAGATCTGTCTAGAATAGCTCCACCGTACTTTCTGCATCGTTCCTCCGTCATGGACCCTGTCAGCCAGCCGTTTGCGCGGCCAGCATGCATGCAGTGGCAGACACCACCATCGTCCGGAATGGCTTTCTCATTGGCTTGCACCACCATGCATCGTCGTGACATATGACTTGCCACTGGCTATAGTGGCAGTCAGATGGCTGTGGATCGACCGCAGTTTGCCTGTCCCCCTGGAACTCCCCATCTCCGGTCTGTGCCCAACAGTTTCGGCCCATCCGATCGGCAGTAGCACGTAGTACATGCTTTTGCAAGCTAGCGCTACACGGCGCCAGAGCAGCATGCATGCATCTATACCGTCATGTCTGCGTGCCTACAAGATGATATACTGTTGACTTTCCTCTTCACAAAAATTGTCTTAATTCGTGTGCAATGATTCATCAGAGAAATCGATCGCGTGGCTTCAGTTCTTCTCCGTGAAGCCGATCTTTGTTGCCAAATCAGCGGCTTTTACATGGGATCCCCACTTTACTTCGATCAGATATATATCCTTGTCTGCACGTGTGTTATTTTACACTCGTTGTCATAGGCAGAGATACGTGCATATCTGCAAGCCAGCTCCAAAAAGTAGGGTTGATTAGGTCTACTATACCTTTGACGTATACTAGGGCACTGGATCCTTAGTTTAGCATTGATATATCTTCAAAATTGTCGACAAAAATATCAGCAATATTCATACAATATGTATATAACATGTAAAAAAAAGTCATACATAACTGTGGAAACTAAACAGACAAATTACACCATGGATAGTACCAAATCAAGTCAATGATGAGTGAAAGGGAGTTTGTTCCACAAAAAAATTGTAGGACTCGAAATAGGGTAGCAGATTGTACGGAAAATTATAGCCGTATCGAGTGGGAAATACCCTTTGGTCCCTGGGTATATGTACACCTCATATGGGATTTATTGTGATAATTAAATAAAAAGTCAAAAAATGTTTGGAGGTTTATTTACAATAAACTTTGCTTTCCTTTGCAATAGTATATAAATTTTCATGAATACAGAACCAGCGTTGACTTCAGTGCAAAAAATAAAATTTATTTGCTATTATTGGTCATTATTCACACTATTTTAACCAAAAAAAATTGTATTTTTCGAAAAGAAGTCAACGAGATTTTTTTTCATTTTGTGGATTTTTTCTAGCAGTACAATGGAATGTCAAGTTTATTTCAAAAATATATTCAGAATTTGTTGACTTTTTATTCATTTACTAAATTATTTTTCCATATAGGATGTATATACACCATAGACAAAAAGTTCCAGTCCCGTATCGAGCCATGAACTGCAGTATGGATGAGTAGATGTCCTCCAAGTTGGGAGGATTTATTGCCTCTTGATTTTAACCCTGCGACTTAGGAATAAAACTCCAGTATGATTTGCAAAAAAAAACACAATGTGACAGTGACACGATAATACTTGAAGTGATACTATTCAGAACATGTTTTTTTATTAATATATGAAACAGATTCGGACTTGGAATTTTGTAACACAGTACATATGTATCATCTCTATGCGATGAATTTTTTGCAGGTTTTTTCACAAATTTAAATATGCAATTTCTGAGCGGAATTTCTTTACCCGGCGGCGACAAGAGGCTTTGCATAGGGTAGGTCGATCTGGACGGCCCATGCTTTTCACTAGCACACTGCGGGCCTTGCGTACGTAGTTCCGCCTACATCCGAGAGTTTTTTTTTCATGGTAATACGTGTCTCATTCATATCATAAAAAACAAAGTACAAGTCACGTATAGACCGACATGACAAAACTGAAAAGATAAAAGAACATCTCTGAGCTTGACACCAACGCCCGTCACCTGCCTCCGGCACCACCACAACAGCCACCGAAGATACGGCATCACTGATACGGCATCCGAGAGTTGTTTGAAAGCAGCTAAATGCGACTTCTATACAGTTTAAATTACCGGTTAGCTGGTACAAGTAGCTACTTTCATTATACTACTTCATAGTACACGTGTACGGGGGGGTAATTGATGGCGGGCAATGCAGGATGTGATCAGGACGGTGTGTAGGAGTACGTCCGTGTCGGCCTGCTTGCCGGGACAACGAACGAGACACGAAGTGAGGACAAGAAACGTCTACCGAAATTGAATCCTGCAAATCAAGTACCAGTACTGTGGTCGCCGTACAATGTCATTGTGCAATGAAATTTACCAAGCGCTGCTCAAGGAAACCGTGAATGGTGTGGAAGGTGAATTTGTGATCATGTGCAATCCCTTGGAGAGGTTAATCAGGAGTAATTTTTAACACATTTTACTTGGCATGGCGCGGCAATTGTGGAGGGATGCAGAAGGAAGACGGTGTTGTTTTCTTCAGGAACTAGCCTCTAATTTCATTCTTGAACGGGAGCTCCTTTATTTTAAGAGGGTTTTTTTTTTGCAGGAAATTATTTGAAGTGGGTTGCACGGGAGTTCTTGTAAGGACTGATTTTATATAACATTTTTTTTTTGCAAATTAAAGGAAACTGTGCGACGTCAATAATGAAAACAACCATGATTGAGGCAAGCACGAGTACATGGATGAGAACAAACATTCTGCCTGAGATTCCCGAATGCTCACAAAAAAAACTCCAATTATTATTTGTTGATCTTTTGAGCCATCCGCTCACGTGCCAATCTGCCATGACTAAGTTATTACTATCATAATACTCATCTATAAGAGGAAGCCCAGAAAGTACATCGCATACCTGGCTTGGGCAGAACACATGCTAAAAAGAGCCATCTCTGTGCAAAGCAATTCAGGCAGACAGATGTAGCTAGCATGGGGCCTGTGGGGGAGGAAAAACAATGTTGTGTACATCATGTATACGGGCCCATGTACGGCAGTGTTGGCCCCACAGATTCTACATCTACCGTATGATGATGAACGAACCTTTGTGCCACATTTTCCAGTTGCCAAAATTTTACTGCCTTGCATGTTGCATGGTAAATTAAAGTGATATTTTGTTGTTCCATTTTCTTGCGACGGCATGCAAAATTTAATCTTTGTCTGGGAACTGATAAGTTCAACAGGTCCTGATGGAATTTTTGTAATTGGTACCTTCTTGCAAATTACAGGAAGCCATTTTGATTCCATAATAACTTGGGAAAAAAAGGGGAGCAAGCTAGCTAGCTAAACATGGATCGAGACTGCAAAAACGGTGGAGATTATTTAAGCTATTTTGAATCAACATGCAGTTGCAAAGTACTACTGCCAACTCACAAGAAGAAAGAAACCTAGAAAAATGAGAGTTACAAATGGAGGTCCAAGCTAAGAGCCTCCTGCTGCCCCAATTCACACCTACCTAGCTTCTCCGGCGACGTGGAGGAGCAGGACGACAAGGACGGCGACGAGGAGAGCAGGCTCATCACCACCTTCTCGTCCTTGCAGGTCATCACCTCCCCGGGCCGCACCACCACGGCCGGCGGCATGTCAGCCGCGCCGTGACGGACTGCTGCGCCGAAGTTCTCCACGGCCGGCAGGGGCACCCTCCAGTGGCCCTGCGCCTGCGCGACGGGGCTGCCGTCGATGGGCTGCGACATGGAGCCCGGGCCGCCCCCGCCGTAGGGCCCCATGCTGGCGGTCGTCCACATCGGGTAGTGCGGCGGCGGCTGGTCGTAGCGGGCGGCGGCGGGGTGGTGGTGGTGGTAGTTGAGGAGGGCGCCGTACATGTGGTGGCCGCCGGGGACGTAGCGGTGCATGGCGAGGGAGGCCTGCAGGTGGGCCCGCTTGGCGTGCTGGCGCTCCCGCTTGTGCGCGTTCTGGTGCCCGCCCAGCGCCTGCGACGTCGGGAAGTTGCGGCAGCAGTAGTGGCACTCGAACTTCCTCGTCTCCCCCGCCGCCGCCCCAGACGCGCCGCCCTTGGCTCCACCGCCGCCGCCGCCGTTGCCCTCGGACGTGACGGTGCTCCCGTTGGCGGCGTCCGGGGAGCCGGCGCCGGCCTCCTGCTTGCGCTGCTGCTGCTGCAGCAGGGCGTCGTTGTTGGAGAACTCGCGGCCGAAGAGCCGGATGGTCTCCCTCGCCTGCTGCTGCTGCTGCTGCGCCACCGCCGGCCGGATGAACGGCAGCTGCGAGAACGAGTCGACCCTGCGCACCTCCTGCGGCGTCGCCATGGCCGGCGAGACACCTAGCCTGCTATGCTACGTACGTGAACCCGGAGAATTCTCCGCGCCTTGGTAGCTTGACTTGGAGCGTCTCTAGCTAGCTCGTCTCTCTCTGTAGTGTTTGTGCGCTATGTGAGGAATTTGGCTACGAGTTGGTGCGGTTTTAAGGGGAAGTGCGCGCGATGCTTGTGAGGTCGGGGCGGAGGGGGACCATGCATGTCTATGTAAGGTCGGAGCCGAGTGTGGAGGGGACTACACCAAGCAAGCAAGCAAGGAAGGGGCCAGCTTAAAAACCTCTCGCTCTCTCCCATCCACCACGCCACCGCCAAGTACAAGACGCAGCGCCGTAGTGGAATGGCAGTCGCAGTTTGCCGCTAGCTGCTGCTTGTGCAGTCGGGCACGCCTGGACCTGGCTAGCTAGCTTCCCCAACTATCCTGCCAGCCGCAGCTGCATGCACGCTGGTCATGGTCAGCCCGGTGGCCGGGGCTAGCTAGCTAGTGGTAGCCGGAAATAGGCTGATCATGTGTGTCCCAGGCATGACATAACTCTCGGCAGATTTTGGGACTGGGTGCATATATGTACACACACGCATCGCATGCACGCGCAGCTACTAGCTACATGGGCTTAAACCTAGGCTAGGCTAGAGACGGAAGGCAAACTTCATTTCATTTCTTTTGGGTCTAGGCTTTCATCTTCATGCACAATGATCCGTAGCTGTCAGTGCCCATCGTCGCCGTCGATGGACCGATGGAGTGGCCAAAGGGAGACGGGCGTACGTACGGGCTCGTGTGGCTCCGTCTACCTACCCATCGCCATCGTCCGGACTCCTTGCTTGTTCTGCACCGGGCGGCCTCTGGATTGGCCCTAGGGTTGTTCTTCAATCTTTATGGGAGGTTGGCTTATTTAGGACACGCACGCATGAGACTTGAGATGTGAGATGTGAGATGAGAGCCCAGTCGAGTCGACCGAGACCACACCGCGGAGGAGGTGGTGCTACATGGAGTACGTGGTGGTCCTCCTGGGGACGGCGACGTGCCTCTGGCCGTGGCCTGTGCTGGAGCTCGATGCCTGCTCCGGCCTGCTGCTTGCATGATGAGTTACTGCTGCAGCCCAGGCCCAACTTGTTCCTTTTTTACTACTCCCTCCATTCCACAATGTAGTGTTTTCTCTATCTACGTGCTTCAACTTTGACCGTAAATTTAACTACCAAGACCGATTGCGGCGGGAGCAAAAATTATATCAGTGAATTCGTATTCGAAAGAAGTTTTCAATTATATAATTTTTTCTTCCGCCGCAGTTGGTCTTGTTGGTTAAATTTACGGTCAAAGTTGAACCTCGGGAAGCGCGGGCGCACTATATTTTGAAATGGAGGGAGTACCTCTTTATTTATTCACGCTAGCTTTTGGGGTGATGGCCCTGGCTCTGGCTCCATTGCCTATTTGCATGCATGCACAGCATGGTAGATCGATGGATGATCGATCGATCTCGACGGCTGGCTAGCGAACAAGACAAGGAGAAGGTATATATGAGCATAGCTCCGTTTTCCCACTTTGTGACCTTTTCTTTTTCTTGATTGACAGCGCGGTTATAATAATTGTAGCCATCATCATCGGTGGCGCTTTGCACTGGGATCCACATGTTTAATTGTTGCTGGCTAGCTGTTTCTCTGACCATCATATATACAGTACGTAGATCCAGCTTTGCTCCTTCCACTCTCCTTTTGCTTCTCTTTTTCGCTGAGCCTTTTGCAAGCTTTATCTCTTATACTGATCATGTGGTATACGGGTGAGCAACCCAAATCTCGAAAACACAAAAACCAACAATCCTGCAATTTACAGCTGTTTTACAGACTCCTTCCAGCTAATCCCTCCTCCCTTGGCACCTCTC